AAAATTAAGCATCCTGATGTTGGAAAGTTCGCTGTTTCTGAGCCTCATCCTCGCCGGCATGTAGGCTGGCAGCCTCCAAAATGGAACAGTGTACCCATCTCAGTACGCTTTCTCACAGCCCTCTTCACTGCCTGTGCTTGGCTTCGCAGGCTTCTTCTTCCTACGCGCAGTCCGGCGGCATGGGCAACTTTACAATGACCAACTGAGAGCACTTTCAGTTTACCCTTACCCCGTCGGGAAGCCCTGCGTTAGGCTCAGGCGACGCGACATCTACAGTAGATGAAATTACCAACAGGATGTATTTAAAAAATGAAAGCAAACCGCGCATGGGCAAACGAAAGCCTATCAAGATGCGACCAAAGATAATGATAAATCAACATAATTCTCAACTATGAATCAGCATAAGTTTCATTCGGGGCTGATTCAGCAGACATTTTCGCGGCTTTTGGGGCCCTTGCAACCAAGCAGGTTTGCTCGATGTCCAAACAACTCGCCTCGGGGCTATCCATATTGGCCTTCAGAAATTGCGAAGCAGCAAACTGTGGTAGTGGTCTCTAGTTGGAAGATCTGAGCGATAAACCGTAGTTAGTTTTTGCGAGATCCGCCCCATCACACACTGCATATGAATTTGAGTTGGGAATTGGTATCATGGTGCGGTAGTCGTCGCCTGTCAAGTCCTAAGTCACCTTTCAAATACAAAAGTTCAGGGTGGCTGACGTCGATGAACTTCGGCAAGGGAAACTAGTATCTGCAAAACACGGTATGAGAACAGCTTGTCAACAGTTCAAACCAATTTGCAGGTACGTGGAGTTGATCAGATTCCATATCAGCCGTGGCATGGCCCTCTTCGTTGGGCAACAAGCTATGCTCACGGGGCTGCCCCCCTGATTGAAAAAGCTGTTTGTTACTAGCAGTTACTTTCCTGGATAGACCGAGAATACTTCGTTGTCAGACACATCCATGTTGGGTCTCAAAAAATCCAAGAGCATAAACCATGCTCCGATGAAGCGGTCTTGATCAATGCTGGTGAAGAAGCCAGCAAGGTCTTGATTGACAAGAATGAGGTCCGCGTCAACAGGTGCTGACTTGAGGATGGAAAGGAGCATATATACATCTCCTGAAGCAAAGTGATTTGGACATGCCACTGGGATCAATTGAAAGATGATTTTGGCGAGGATGTTGAGCATGGGCCGACATGGGGAGTCCACAAAAGAGATGATTGGTCGACCACTTTGAAAGTCTTTGTTCCTTTTTGCCAGAATGTAACCAGCTTACAATTGTCGTCCATTTCCTATCGCCCAAGCGTAGGCTTTTCCATGTTGTCGATGTAGAAGATCAACCAGAGAAGTGACAATGGATTCAGGATTTTCAGGTACCGGTTCGAAAATGGAGGGATCCTGAAGAGTTTTTTCAATTGCTTGGTAGTACAAGCAGGGGCAGTAAATTCTCAGGGAAGAGGCCTGTTTGTCTTTGCAATGGAAGATGGCACCCTCGAAGGTTCTTTGAAAGGAAGTGATGGATGATTTGGTGATGTGACAGGTGACGTTTTTGGAATGTTCTGTCCAGAGGTGTTGGCTGAAGTCGGAGATCTCAGAGTTCGGCATGGACGGAAGACCATTGCGTTTTGTCCAGCCGTGAAGTCCAAGTTTTAACTGATTGTGGGATTCCTTTTTGGAGGGAAATGCCTTGTTCAGCAAGGAGCCTTCGGCAATGACAGCCAAGTCTTCTGGTAAGAGTGAATTAAGCAGGGAACCTGCTAGAACCCAATGAGGTTCTGATGGATTGAGAGCGGCTGGTTTGAACGGTGCCCACTTTTTGCAACAACATGTTGCAGGTTGTTCAGTGGACCTATCCGCGATAGCTTGTTTGTGGTTGCAGAGTTGGTCCAACACTGCTGCATGTTTAATGAAGACCATCTTGAAAGATGGTGTATGGCACGGAACTTGGTATGCAAGGACTTGAAGGTGCCATTTTCATAGGAGCTGTTTCAATTGTTGTTGGAGATTGGGAGTGAGGGACCATGGGGCACGTAGTGCCGTTGCTCTGGGTGCTGGTTTCCCGTTCCACCATTTGATGGACGTGTCGATTGCCTGAAGGGACATGGTGCGGAAGGGCTCCTGGATGTTGTTTGCCAGGCGTCGAAGAGCATAGCAGAGGGTGAGACCCCCGTCATTGGAGCGTAGCATTTTGGTCTGTTCAAATCTGGCTCTCGTATCTGACCCAACGCGTGGATGATGGGCCACAATTCCAGTCGGTTTTGAAACCGTTCTGAGGTCAGAATCTGGCGGACTACTGTCGGAGTGAACTTGTGTTTGGCTCGACGCCAAAGCGTGGCCAGGCCAAACTGGGATTTGTGTTCAAGGCAGGTTTTTTGAGAATGCCTTTCTTGGGGTGGAAAACGAAGGGGTAGTTGAGTCTAGCTGAGCCTATGTAGAACTTGGGCTGCATGTTCACAATGTGGGGTGAAACGGACGTAGACACTTTGAGATTGGAAAAATGGTTTTGAGAAAAGATTGTGGGCATGAAGTGTTGAGCCCCACAAGTGTGTGTGAGGTCGGTACATCACCAAAATAGACTTAAGCTTCTGTTTTGGTTGGATTACGGCAAGCACCATCATGCGGGTCTGGATGATGCGAAAGCCTTGAAAAAGATGAACACTGTAACTCATAGTGAAGGGTGTCAAAATGTAGATGATAAGGATCATCGAAAGGAGAACCTGAAGATGGGATTGAAGCACTTTGTGCTAGTCAATTGGTCAAGCTGATAGCCGCTGTCATGGCCCGCAGGAGATTCAACACATCATAGTTCTTGCCAAGAAGGCTGACGGGGACGCCCATCATTACAGCCACTCGTTCGACAGTTTCCAGTGCTTCTGCCGGTTGATTTGACCACCAAGTTTCAGTCTTGGTGATGTTCTGAGTGAGAACCTTCCTCTTTGGCTCTGACAGCGGAAGTTCTTTGAGCCATTTTGCAAAGGCTCGAACTGCCAGAGTTGTCGGCATACGTTGAGCCAACCACGGGTTGACCGTGGAAGGGCAGACCAGCAGGCTGGAAGGATCAAATGCCGGTGCTGGTGGTGGTGTTGGACCGATTGAATTGTTCATAAGAGCCCGTTGGATGGGTGTATTGGCCGGGCTGGATGTTGCCAGGCCCCTTCTTGGTGGTGTGGAGTGCCTGAATCGTCTGGATCGGTTGTGCGGGCTGGTAGTGGATTATCTCTGCGATTTGTTGAGACGCATACTTGGTTTGTAGGCCAGATCAGTGTAGTGGGGCATTCTGTAAGTTTTGGAAATGCAGCTACAAGAGTTTGCCAAAAACTCACACAAAAGTATTGGATACTTTTGCATTTGCAGCTTACCAGGCCTGGCGTTGGGACACTGGCAGAAGATGATGCTGATCCCTGAACCCATTGACAAAATGGGGATCCATGCACTATACCTCTATCTATCTATCCAATCCCTCTCTCTATATCCCTATCTTTCTATCTATCTATCTATCTATCCATCTATCCATCTATCCATCTATCCATCCATCAAATCTAATCTAATCTGTCCATCTAATCAATCTACCTACCTACCTGTCTATCTATGTACCTATCGATCTATCCATCTATCTATGTATCTATCTACCTATGTACCTATCTATCCACCCATCCATGTATCTTTTTATCTGTAGATACAGATGTAGCTTCAGATCTAGGTATAGGTATAGCCATTGATCTAAGTATAGATAGAGATGTAGATGTAGATGCAAATATAGATGGAGATGTAGAAACAGACACAGAAGCAGATATAGACACAAATTGAAGTTTTAAACCAGATGCAGCCCACGAACCCAAATGCTCACACGTATGTTAATGGTACAGATATCGAAACACATGGATATGCAGTCACGCAGAACACTTTTGTGACACGGTTAATTTGAACAGTTTTGTACATATTTCCCCTGTTACCAGTCTGCAGTGTGGAGTGGAAAGTGTAGAGTGTGGAGTGTGGAGTGTAAAGTAAGGAGTGTGGAGTGTAAAGTGTGGAGTGTAAAGTGTGGAGTGAGGAGTGTGGAGTGTGTAAAGTGTCGAGTGTGGAGTGTGGAGTGGAAAGTGTAGAGTCTAGAGTCTGGAGTGCGGAGTGTGGAGTGTAAAGTGCGGAGTGTGGAGTGTAAAGTGTAGAGTGTGGCGTGTAAAGTGTGGAGTGGGGAGTGAAAAGAGAGTGTGGAGTGTAGAGTGTGGAATGAGGAGTGTAAAGTGTGGAGTGAGGAGTGTACAGTGTAAAGTGTAGAGTGTAAAGTGTGGAGTGTAAAGTGTAGAGTGTAAAGTGTAGAGTGTAGAGTGTGGAGTGTGGGGTGCAAAGTGGGGAGTGTGGAGTGTAAAGTGTGGAGTGAGGAGTGAAAAATGTAAAGTGTAAAGTGTAGAGTGTGGAGTGCGGAGTGTAAAGTAAGGAGTGTGGAGTGTAAAGTGGGGAGTGTAAGAAAACGGTGACAGAAAACGAGATCCAGCAGCCTCTGGTTGAAGCCCACCCAATGCTTGCCCTTCACATTGCGGGAACGCGCGAGCACCAAAAGCATTGAAGAGTCATGCCTTCCTCCATGACTTCATAACTGGAATGATCAGTGAACCAGGTGAAATTGTATAAAAGGGCGCTTCATTGGAAGATTCCTTGTCTGGAAAAAAGCATCCTTCCCAAGCGTAATTAGGATTAACCGGGCTTCGAACGGAATGATATGGTACTGACGGTACTGTTAACAACGGAATCTTCACTGTGCTAACAATAGAACGGAATGACTCAATATTTTCTTCAATCACAAACCATAGAATGATTCCCGGTCGCACGGCTCCGCGGTCCTTCTCTTTGGCCTGCGCCGCCAGCGCCTCCTTCGCCTCCTTGGCCTCCTTGGTCTCCTTGGTCTAATTTGGAAAGACAAATCAAATCTATTTAAGATATAAAAGATTATATCTATTAATATCTATTAATATCTATTAATATCTATTAATATCTATTAATATCTATTAATATGACAATTATATAATAGATATTAATAGATATAATTGGGATGTATATAACTTGTCGAACCAATATATTGAGGATATAACTAGGGCTCAATGGGATAGATAATGGGAATACGGGATACTTGGGCTTGATAAGGGGATATGTAATCCACAGTTATATTTATGTTGAAAAAACATTGTAACATATTATAACCATTAGATGCCATTATTACATGACATGGGAATGGCCTCGTGGTTTATCGCTGGATATTCTATGGTCATTGGGTGTATGAACGTGGGAAGTTACGAGATATCTTTATATTATATAACAATATAACACATGAGAAAGCTGTATTACAGCAAGCACCAAAAAAAATAGTTCTTTTTCCCAGGATATAGAAGACACCTATCTGCATTCCCAACACTGAAGCTGAATGTGACTGATAAGAATGGTTCAGGTAGGATATTTCCGAAGACTGATGAACAAATCATAGTTCTGTATATAATTGAGATAACTGATGAATATACATGATAGAGAGTGCACAAAACTGAGATCTGACGAAAATCTGAAGCAATATAACATATATTTATATGTGTATATATATATAGAGAGAGAGTCTACAATTATCCGACAGGAGATTTGTGCTGAAAAAATGTCACCACCAGGGCCCTCTGGGTTTCTGCACCTTCTCCACCTTCTCCTGGGTTAGGAAACCTTCACCTGGCAAAAATCAAATCAAAATGTCACTGCCCGGAACCTAAAATCGCTGGGGGACAGAAAGGTTGGATCAAAAATAGGATAAACTGCCAAAAATGGGGATTCAACCAGTAAATTATCAGTGTGGTTCATTATGTTGACTAGGATGGATTTATGTTGGATATATCATGATACATCTACAGCTGCATGGGTGAAGAAAACATCTATAGCCATGATGAGTTGGCACCTGCTGAGAAGTTGCCTTCTTTCCCTCGGGTTGATGTCAAATTTCGTTCCGCCCAGCAATATCAATCAATGTTATGTAAGGATATGTAGGGAAAATCTTCACTCTACAACACAGAGTTACAACATGTTACAACCATGAAGCCTTTTGGTTCTGATGTTCCAAGGAAATAAAAATCTGGAACCTGACAAAGTGTGACTCAACCCCACCTCCAGCTGTGATCATCGACATTCGATCGCCTGTCGGATGAGGATCTGTGCTGATTCAATGGGAAAATTCACGGGAAACATTGGGTTTTGACCAATTCGTGTTCACCATCATACATGGTATAGATGGCCCATTTATAGATGGTTTACCTATTCAAAATGGTGATTTATGGGAAACATTGGGTTTTGGAGCAAATGTTTTCTTCAACCACTTCTTCGCAAACATGCAAACTTTTGCCGAGTATGGACTGTTCACTAACCTGAACTGTTTATCATATTTTATCATCATGTTCGCCATGCAATTGCCATTTTGAAGGGTAATACACTATTTTCAGGCACACCCACATCGATGTTGATCCAAAACCCCAGCATTTCTGTCACGTTGAGCCCTCCTGGCCTACGCATTGGGTCCAAAGCACCTCAAAACCTCCAGAGCCAAGAAGGGCAACTGTTGCAATCAAAAACTGTAAAACGAACATGAAATGGCTGGTCAAGTTATTGATAGTTATTGGCTAGGCATTCAAAATTGCCCATCCATTTATTTGTGGTTCCCTCTATGGTCCCCCGCATCCCCCGCATCTTGAATTTTGACCCTCCGAATGAGTCCAAACCAGCACAAGGTAAGACATGTTGACGCTCATCTGCAACCCCAAAAGCAAGATAACCTCCTAGCTTTGACCAAGCGCTGTGGACCATTAACACCCGCAACATCACCGTAGCTCAAGGATGAAAAAGTGGGATGCAACACAAAGAAATAAAAATAGCGCGTTAGACCCAACAAGAAATTAACACCAATTTCCAGCATGGGAGGTTTACAGGTATCTGGCATACTGAGTTTTCTACGTAACTACTTGACTAACCAGTGTGTCAGCACTGCATGGCGAAAATCTGAGTTCCCTGCGTTCTCGCAGCACTGCTTCACTTGGCAGAATCACCTCCGCCTCCGGGCTTGGTGTCAAGGGCGACCCAAACCCGGGTACCTACCGTACCTACCAACCTTTACAGGGCTGCAAAAGTTTTTCATTTTTGCATTTTACCTTCCATGTTGGATTTACATACCTATGTTTTCTGCCATTCCCCAACCACGGCTGGAGAGCCCCGCTTTCTCGATGGAAAATTTCGATGAGTGAAGAAAGTGAAATTGTGGTTAGACGGTGCCAGTGCTTTTATGGTTGGCTTCAAGCAATTGTTTAGGTTTTGAAACGCATCCGCTAGTTCATTGGATAAATCATGCTAAGTATATATATGTTTAATCCATTCAACGAACCCTGACCAGTCTCAGATAAGTTGGAAAACCCTTTATTTCTTCCATCAGGTTAGTACAATCCTCTTTATGCCAAAAACATCTTTAAAAAATACATCAAGTTTACCCGGTTGACCAGTGATTGACCCCATTTATGTTGACCTCAGGAACATCATCCTCAAAAAGGAACGACCCATCGACACGGCACCTTCTCCAAGTCTCCATCGCTTCGCGTAAGCTGCCAGGTGCGGCTGGGTCTTTGTCCCGGCTTTCTTGGATGGGCCGCCATACTTCTAGTTTTCATGTGTTTTAATATGTTTTAATCAATGGGAATTTGGATAATGATTGGTTTCAGCTACAAATATAGCCTATATAGCTAAGAAATACCAGGAATCTATGAAGCTGAGCCGTTGCAACTTGTAAGCTGGACGAGGTCACAGTTAGACATGTTAGACCTTCCCCCAGACAGTTCATTCAGATTCCAGTCATTCCAGTCATTCCAGTCATTCACCAAGATATTCAAAATCGAGGCATAGGAGCAGAGCCACACACAACTCGACCAACTCGACCATTACATGAGGTCACTTTGAATTCAAGCCTCATAAATACATATAAATACAATGATGTTCGTACAAAATCTTGGAAGATCTATGGATGTTTTGCAATGTTTTGCAATGTTTTGCATGTGACGCACATGGTCATTTGGTCATAAATAACGGACATGTTCTTTGGGGCCTCAAGAATCGCTTGTGGTGGGAGGCAGGCATCCTTCTTCTTCTGCCTTTCCAGCCTCCGGCGACGGGTAAACCATTAAAGTAGGCCTTTAAAGTCAGATTGTGTCGCGACACAACAGACATAACCCATTCCTGGCCAGTCATTCTAGCTCAAGGGGGCACCAAGGAGGTTTTTGCAGTTTTGCCAGACACCATGTCCTGTCGCATTTTCTGAGTGGTGTCAGCCATCCCAAAGATATTAGTCAACTCAGTGAGACCAACAAATTTTCATCACATAATCTCGAGTGCAATATCCTCTTTTTTGGGGGGGTTGTCCAAGTTCTTTTCCGGGTAAAGCCGCATTTGCGGTGGTTAAAACATGTCAAAACCTACCCCACGAACCGCCGCTTTTGGTGTTAGTGACTCCACACTGAGCTTCGGCACTGCAAGCATCGAAGCCCCAACGCATTGAAGGTCTGCTCCACAGCAAAGGGTTCCAAGCCCCAGTCCGCCTGCCCATCAGGGTGGGTTTCCGTTAAAAATTATGGGGGATTGGCCAGCAAAAATTCTGTATGTCTGCTCACCCGCCAAAATTGAAGGGCTTCATTGCCGAGTAATATGGTTTTGGGGAAATTCTCCATGATATTTTCTGAGTTGACTGATTTGGGCACTGGTCAGTTGAGAAGCTTGTCAAACACACCTGTGTGCTGAATGCGACCCACTTGACCCTTATCATCATCTCGGTTTATCAGCCATAATCCTGTCTGGCTGTTAGAATTGTTTACAGGAAAACTAAATGTATCTTTGGAAAACTCTTTTTTTTCCATAGATTATCCCGAATAAAAATAATCCCGCTGACAGCGTGCTTAGTACATAGACGTCCTGGGCATGGCAGGGGGTTCATGATTTTTAGATAATTCATGATAATTCTAGTAGCTCTTAAATTTAACTCACCTAAACATCGCTCAAATTTCCCACCATCAGCCCCTTAATCCAATTGGGCAAACCTTCAATTTCAACTGGCCTACAAAGATCATGCGAGTTATAATTCCAATCAAAATATATCAAAATGATCATTGTTTATCCCATTGTATTTATATTGTTAGTATATAGTTAGTATATGTTGCTATGATCCCTACCCATTGAGCTAAAGCTCCAAAAACATCAACATCGCCTCCAACGGTAGATGCAGTAGCTGCTCTTCCAAATGCAATGGGTTCATCTGGCCACCCGGCGACCCGCCCCAGATGCGGAAGAAACGTGAGAGGTCCTGCGCCGCACGTGACGCACGTGGCGGATTCGAAAAAAGCGCTGCGCGGGATTCGAAAAATGGGGCTGTTCAATGGATTCAACGAATTTTGTTGGGAACACAACTTGGGACCCAAATCACTCCGTCTCGATTTTTGTATGGCTACTCAAAATAGGAGTATAGTAGATCCATTCAAGACTTTCCTGGCACATGGTGATACTATGATTTGATTCGATCCAAGTCAGTACCCCTTCTGAAAGCACCCCTTAAAGTCAGTGGCTTTGTCTCTGAAAATTGGCAATTGCCCAATTCCACCGGTCAGCTTAGAATGGGTGACACCCAAAAACAGGTTCACTAAGATGCGCCAATTGGGTAGATTATGTGGGTCCCTCATTTCAAGAAACACTCACTGTAGTTACCCTATCTGAAAGCATGTGACAGCTCACAAACCCCAATTGGGATGCTTTACAAAAATTGTGTGTTCACCCAATGATTTTACAAAATCGCTCATGATTTCTTGATTTTCTAATCCCCTTATCTCAATCGTCGTTCAGCCACGAACCGCGGCCCGTCCAGTGGCGAGACGTCTAAGTGCTCCACAGCACAGAAATGTTCGCCAAGCAGAACCTCAAAACGAACGGAACCAGCTGAGCCCAACATGTTTGTCACTGTTTGTCCATTTAAATAGGGGATGTACGGCCAAAATACTGCGATGTTCAGTGTTTGTTGGACTAATTTGATGAGATCAAGAATCAATGTACAGGGAGGTGTCTAGCTATCATTATTGCAATTATTTGCAATAACTTTGAGAGTTTGTGGGTTTACCAAAAAAAATGTGGCTTTTAAGTGATTTCATCCATCTGGATTTGGGGAAAGACCAAACTTCTCAACTTCTGATGCCCGATGACTCAATTCGGAAACGGATACCGGACTTATCATCTACATTGCCAAAAAAACAACTTTTCTTCCCAACATCTGAAGTCATTTTGAAGGATCTTTGAAGCATCAAACTTCCAAAGTGCTTCAATTAAGCAATGCAAAATTTCCTGGCGTTGGTTGATGATCATAGGGGCTACTCTTTGTATGTGTGGGATTCTCATGGATTCTCACAATCCAATAGACTGCGAATCGTCAACCAAAACTTGTTGGGATACCACTGAGGCCCAAACGCAATCTAAAAAACCAGGCCTCGGAATGCCACGGGCGCCACGGACGCCATGAAAATCCATGGAGTGTGGAGGTTTCCAGAGTCCCTTCCGAACTTCACTCGATGACAGGGGCCATAAAAATGCAGATAGATTAGATGACTTAGATGATCTTAGATTCTACTTAGATGATTAGATGTGTGTCAAAAAAATGGAGCATACCATGGCATACCCTAAAATTCATCAAAATTCCATGGCATGGTTCATCCTCAACTTTCCCCACTCAGAAATGATGGCATCGCTATCCCCATTTTGAGACCCAGCTTTGACAGCTGTAGGTGGATTGAGGTTGCCACAGCTTTGCCCGCCCAAAGCCATGCTTCACCTGTGACAAGTTTCCAAGATGTCCTTCACGAAATTCCCGGAATTCTCAAGTTGCAAAGTAAATCTGATGTTTGCAGATATCTGCAAAAGCAAAATGCCCACCTGACTGACTTGACCCAATACCCATCTTACAAGTGAGTTTGCCATTTTGGCATCTATCTCTCCATTTTTGGTCAAAATTATCCATTGCTATCCTTTACATCAACTTTACATCCCATGAAGACAGTTTACCGGTTTACCCAGCCCTCTGTCGTTCGCCTCCAAATGGCCCTGAACTTCGTTCAGAGAGACGCCCACAGGAGCCGCCTAGGTCTGAGTCGTAGATCCCAACTGAGGCAACGAGTCGGTCGTACATTCCATTTCCAAACCATCCCTAGAGATATGTCTATACCACCTGTTGGGCTTGAGCAATGGGATGCTTTGGAATAATTACCATGCAAATCTATGCGTATAGACTATGTATAGATATGTCAGAGACTGTCTGTTTTAATCATGTCTATAGATTTAAAACATCTTAAAACCTCGTTGTCCCAATTCAAGTGGCCAGAAAATAAAAATACCAGAATGCATCACCAGCTGATTCCATCCTTAGCACTCACCTCCCTAAGGCTCCCGACAAAGCTCAAGTGGCGTCTGAACCTCGGGACCGAATCTCAATGGCTAAAATCATCGGTAAAAAATTGGTGGTTTATGGCGTGAGGGGCACCAATTTTTTGCAGTCCAAATGGACCAGCGATGGGTGCATCACCCCAACATGAAATGAAGTGGAGGACATCAAAGACACAGCTCTTCGGGTGCAACTATTTAGCCATGCATTGTGGGTGCCTTCCTTCCAAGATCAACGTTGATCAACGTTGATCAACGTTGATCAACTGCAGGTTCAAATATGTTGAGAGCTCAGTGGCGAAGCTTGTCAAATGTCTTGCGATTCCTTGCGATTCTTCAGTTCCTCTGAACTCTCTGAGCCTGTTTCTGAATCAGTTTAGAAAAAAAGGCACTGTTTCTATCTGTTTCTTGTTTGGAACTCTCCCGGAAGTGTCTTCTTTAAAGTTATTTTGGGCCATCACGCTGAATGAAATTCCCCAAGAATCTACGTGGCCTGCAGGGCTCTGAGTATGTGAGCAACTGAAACCTATTGGAAATCCCAAAAGCAATGAATGTGATCTCCCAGTTTCGGAATTCCCAGCTATTCATGGAATGTAATCCCCAATAGGTTTGGTAGTATATATTGGGTTAGTAACGTATCACCTTCAACCAAAATATTCAATCGACAAGTTCTGGCCTAAGATTCCAACTCTGACAACTCGATACCACTATGAGCCTCGCCGGGCGGAAAATCAGGTCGATTTCGACATCCCGAAGTTGGACATGATCCAATTGTTTGGGAGATGTCACCGATGAAATTCCATGAAACTCCATCCCATGGGTCTGAAACCATCTGAAACCGGACAAATTCCCCATTTGAATAGACAGAAGTTGGGATAAATTCCCCTCCCCCATTTTCCTGATAAACCCATCTCAATCTCATAGTCACATAGTATTGGCATGTATTGGCTATATATATACTATATTATATACATGCAGACAAATAACATATATATATATATATACGGCAAATGCCTGGGTTTTGCCCGGACCCGCAATGACGACGGGCGACGCATCATCATCATCAACATCATCATCATCATCAACATCATGTTCATCAACATAATAATAATCATCATCATCAACATCATCAACCCCTTCTTGACGATCTTCAATGAATGTAGAAGTTTAACGGGGGTGGGAGAATTAAACCCTTATTGAAGTCACTGAAGATCTTCAATGAATGTAGAAGTTTAACGGGGGTGGGAGAATTAAACCCTTATTGAAGATCTTCAATGAATGTAGAAGTTTAACCGGGGGTGGGAGAATTAAACCCTTATTGAAGATCTTCAATGAATGTAGAAGTTTAACTGGGGGTGGGAGAATTAAACCCTTATTGAAGATTTTCAATGAATGTAGAAGTTTAACGGGGGTGGGAGAATTAAACCCTTATCGAAGATCTTCAATGAATGTAGAAGTTTAACGTGGGTGGGAGAATTAAACCCTTATTGAAGATCTTCAATGAATGTAGAAGTTTAACAGGGGTGGGAGAATTAAACCCTTATTGAAGATCTTCAATGAATGTAGAAGTTTAACATGGGTGGGAGAATTAAACCCTTATTGAAGATCTTCAATGAATGTAGAAGTTTAACGGGGGTGGGAGAATTAAACCCTTATTGAAGATCTTCAATGAATGTAGAAGTTTAACGGGGGTGGGAGTTTAATATGCCCTAATATCTTTGTGGATCTTCCCAATTGAATGTAAAGTTTAACGGGCGTGGGAGTTTAATATTCCCTAATACCGTTTTTGTTTTTCCCATAGGAATTTCGGGTGTTTTGACATTTTTTTAATATAGTCCCTATTACCTTTGTTGTTTTCCCCATAGGAATTTAAGGTTTAACGGGGGTGGGAGTTTAATATTCCCTAATATCTTTGTTGATCTTCCTAATTGAATGTTAAGTTTCACGATTTGAGAGTTTAAAATTTCCTAGTACCTTTGTTGTTTTTCCCATAGGAATTTCAAATGTTATGCCGTTTTTGTTTTTCCCATAGGAACTTCGGGTGTTTTGACCTTGTTTGTTTAATAGTCTCTAGTACCTTTGTTATTTTCCCCATAGGAATTACGGTAATTTGCAACATCATTTGTTTGTGAATGGGAAACCTCTACGCTGCAACGGCTGGGCAAAACCCAGGCGTTGCGCGTATATATATATTATATATATATGTGTAAATATATCCCATCGAACCCCCAGCCCATAACTTTGTTGGTAAACCCAAATGTTTGATTTCTTTTCAGGATATCTTCCCACTACCAGGTCACTACCAACCATTACAATCATTACAGTCCTAGGTGGACTCCCCGATGTTGGAACACTGCCTTCACGATCTGCTCCAGCGGCAGCAAGTCTGACGGCAGGGAGTTGATTTGGGCAGCAATGGATGTGACTGATGTTACCGATATTACCATCAGATGTAGGAAGTTTATGATATTTAATGTTATTTAATGATCAAATCCATACCAATCCATACTAATCCATACCAATCCATACCAATGTATGACAATGATTGACAATGTGATATACCGGCTATATCGTATGGCTATACCGGCTATAGCCATTCTGGTTTCTTGACATTTCTTGACCGTCTTGACCCCGAGATCTTCAAACCTGGACCAGCATCTTGCTGCGATTCCAACCTGGAGTTTCGGACGGTGGATTCGAAACCGACAGCTCTGAAAGCGCTCTGACTGCCACAGCATCTTGACATGATAACTTTGGTGGGCACTTCTTGTCGACTCGTAGACTGGAGCTCTTGAAGCTCTTGTATGCCATTCCAGTTTTGTCCCATGACTGTCCTGCGCTCCCTGAAAATCCTACAGATCCCAAGCCTGTAGTTCACCATCACCAAAAACTGCCGCAAGAGCGTAGCATCAACAAGCTTGGAGTCCTGCAAGTGGCCCCAAACTCACCTCTCACAAGCGTGGCAGCCACATAGAATGAATACACTTCAAAACACCAGGTTCATCAAGGTCACAACCTTAAGGAATACAGTAATCGTGAACACCTGTAGGTTGCTGACTTACAGCACGTTTCCAGACCCCATGTTGACCATGATCTCAACCTACAACACCTGTAGGTTGCTGACTTACAGCACGTTTCCAGACCCCATGTTGACCATGACCTCACCCTACAACACCTGTAGGTTGCTGACTTACAGCACGTTTCCAGACCCCATGTTGACCATGACCTCACCCTACAACACCTGTAGGTTGCTGACCTACAGCACGTTCCAGACTCCATCTTGACCATGATCTCACCCTACAACACCTGTAGGTTGTTGACCTACAGCACATTTCCAGACCCCATGTTGACCATGATCTCACCCTACAACACCTGTAGGTTGCTGACCTACAGCACGTTTCCAGACCCCATATAGACCATGACCTCACCCTACAACACCTGTAGGTTGCTGACCTACAGCACGTTCCAGACCCCATCTTGACCATGATCTCACCCTACAACACCTGTAGGTTGCTCACCTACAGC